GGGGATTGCGACACCGGTGACGAGGCTGGGGGGGGTGTGGAACACGGAGCGGGGAGCTCGCCGGTTGCCACGTCGGAGACGGGAGAGGGATGAGGATGGGGAAGGGGAGGGGGCGCCGCGGGATCCGCCGTGGGGTTTGGGGACATAGGAACAGACCGCGAAATCACGGGGGCTGGGGCAGGTGGGGCAGGGAGGCAAGAAGGGGATAACACACTCTTAACATCCTGGACCTGATGATCCCTATGGGTCCCTTCCAGTTTGGGATATTCCATGATTCTGTGATTCTTTATGAGAGAGGGAGGGAAAGAAGTAAGATTAGAGCAGAACCCTGTATCATTGAACAGATGTTAAAACAGCTCTCTCAGCAGGAGAAAAAGAATAAAGAGAGAAAGTTGTGAAACCCAAATTCTGGAGCTCTGTCAAGCCCCAGGTGCCTCAGCTGATGGGGTCAGCCTGCTTCCAAAGTAAGAATTAGAAGCTGCAGCCTGTAAGGAAGCATCTCTTTTCTGCTGTCCCTCTCTCCAGGGCATGTGGTGAAAATGCCAGCCACAGGAAAGGGATCCTGGTGGAAACTTCCCCTTCACCTTTGATGTGATGGATGCAGATGGCAACAAACTGATGGACCGGGTTTTTTACATCCATGTCATAGGTAAAAGGCAGTTATGCTTTCTTTGCTGCAGCGCTCAGGGCTGCTCCCAGATTCCATCCCACATGTACTGCAAGGCGAAATGTAATTCTTGAGACTCGGTTTTGATGCGCCGTCAATTCCAAGGCCTTTGAAGTGAGGGGCACGGGGAGATTTTGCAGATGTAAGGGTTCATTCTTTGGCTTCTGACAAACTCAGTGAAAAGGTAGAAAAATTCCCCTTAGTATCTTTCACATTTTGTTGAGATCGTCTATAAGACATTATAATGTTATCAACCCCGATCAATGGCAAGGCCTAAAGTTCCTGGTTTGGAATTATCAAAACATTTGTGCGTGTGTTTTGTTTTCCTGCCCAAGCACCCACGGGAAGAAGCATCTCCTAACTCAGCTTTGTGTTTAACCCTTCCAGAGGACAGATTTCCCCCCTCCATCATCACTAACGAGGGGCTGGTGTTGGATGAGAACTCGGCAAAGACAATCAGAACCCTCCAGCTCTCGGCCACTGACCAGGACAGCGAAGCCTCCCAGCTCCAGTTGAAGGTCACCTGGCAGCCACAGCTGGGGCATCTGGAGCACGTGGCTTCCCCAGGTGAGCTGGGAGGTGTTGGGCTCTCACAGCTGCAAAATGCTGGAGGCTTTTGAGCCCTAAACATTCATTGCAGGAAAAACATGCCCAGAGGCAGCGACACACAATTCCAGTTCCTGTTAGAAATCAAAGCTAAAATAAATGAGCCCAGAGGGTTAGGGAATAAGGTGAGTGGAGGCAGAGCAGCCCAATAATCCCAGTTTAGGATTTATTCAGCCTCTGGGCCAGTTTCTGGCCCTACTGCTGCTTCTGCAGTAGGTTTTCCTTTTCTCCCAGGAAAACCTTTGGCCTTTGCTGTGAACAGCAAAG